CTTGTTCAGCGTGTAACTTACAAGGAGAGGTCCCCAGAGTTGACGCTCAATTTTTGATGAGATTTGGTATAGTGATAGAGCTTGTAACGCTCTGAATCCAATGATACCCGGTTCGGGGTGCAGGCGGTTTATAGTTTCTGAGATAATTGATATATTAAAGTTGCTAATGAAAGGGCAGAAAGACGGGCTACCTGATCGCGACCTGCGGAACATCCCTCATTTCTTGTCGCGCGATGCCCTACGCCGTAATCTAACGCGTCTTTCTGGCCTTTTACTAGCAACTTTAATATTAATTATCTCAAAAATTATAAGCCGTTTACCCCCCCAAACCAGGTATCATTGGATTCAGCTTTACAAGTTCTATCTCTGTACCAAATCTTATCGAAAAGTAAACATCAATCCTGGGGACCTCCCCTTGTTAGCCAATAATAATCAAAAGTCTGATAATTGGAAGAAGCTAGGTAGAGCGACCGATTCCCCTTGCCTCTTGCGTCATTTAGTTTATGCGTAGTGTTTCATTTTCTTGTTTCCCGATACATATTATCGTTAGGTTCTTAACGTTGTACGTTAACCCTTTGGAGTTTATCGAGACATATGTGTCCCACCTATGTATTTTGTACGCCTATTGGGAGAAATGAATCCCGTTTTCCACAATACACGCACATTTTTGTTTACATGTAACCAATAGGATACATATGTCCCAGCCCTTAGCGTCTAAAAGGGATAACGTACACTAATAACATCAACATTTCTTGTTATTAGTATCTACATGTACGTAAGACTTGACTTCAGATATAACGCAAATCAAAATAAATCAGACTCCAAAGGGTTAACGTAGGCGTAAGATATCATACAATATAACACAAATGTGCCCATAATTATGAAAGTGGTCTAAGTCATATATTTCTTGTTTCGAGATATTTAATGAATCGCATTTGAATAAATTAAAAAATATTTTTACATTATGCGACATTTTAATTTATAATTTTATTTATTATAGATATGAAATTTTGTGTGAATTTCATAGGAAAATGTTGTTTTTAAAGCTTAAATTTTCAAAATTAACTGAATGTCCTATAATTGACTTAAAGTAATAAAAAATTGTGATTTTTATTTGAGCCGTTTATTTTGAAAGTGGTGTAAGTCCAATGTCATCGAAAGAAATTGTAAATGACGTTGCGTGGGGTATTTAGACAATACAAGCTCAGATTCGGCATTTTGAATTTCTTTAAAAAAAAGAACTTATACCACTTTCAAAATAAACGGTCCATTTGAAACAACAACTTTAACGAAATAATTCATAAACATTTATTAATCATTTTTAAAAAGTAATCCATTTTTATCATAATTTCGAGTTTTTAAGATTTTTAAAATGTTCCTGAAAAACTGGAGGGATGTATGGTAGTAAACACATAAGATCTTTATGTTTTTCTTCCGTTACTGGTCTAGTGGTGTTGTATAATGGAAGTAATAGAATATTTTCGTATATTTTTGGTCTTCCTCTTTTAGGTGAAAGATCCAAAACTTGGAATTCAGAATCATCTAAAGAAGTCTTATAAAACATTTGATAAGGTTCATTTTTCAAGAATCTCATCCATTGAATTTTTAGCCAAGAGACAGATTCGCCCGCGGTATTTTTTACTCTCCTTGTTATTGACGTTTCAAGTGATTTCGTTGAAATAAAATCCGGCTGCGACATCCGTTTGATCGAAAATGTATTTCTTTTTCTACAATTTTCGATCAATTCATAGTAATGTTGACTTAGACCACTTTCATAATTAACACTAAATGAATTCCGTATAACGTTGTAATTACAACTACTATCTAAAGGTTCATTTTTGACGATATCGTAAAAATTACATTGAATAAATTTAGTTTAAAATCATGTCGTGTGAAATAAGTGATAAATTCATTTTTTTTTTAATTTTGACTTAGACCACTTTCATAATTATGGGCACAAAAATAAAAAATATGTGTATAGTACAGCACGTTCGTTGCATAATCCAATGGAAAGTTAATCGAGATGCTAATTAGTAATTAGTAATTACAAATAATCGTGTTTTCATCGGAAGAATCTGAAGTTAATGCTTTACGGATAAGTCAACGCTCTTGCATCTTGTATTTGTTCCGTCTGTTTCACTTTGTTTCGATTGTTCTACGCCTCCTGACTCACGTCGCGCGTCTCGCTCGTCCGTGGTCGCGTAAGGGTCGATGCACATCTACGCGCTAGGTTCGAGTCATGCTAGCAGTGTGCTCGATTGAGAGTGTCACATTAGTGGTCGATGCACGTCTACGTGCTAGGCTCGGGTCGTACTAGTAGCATACCCGATTGAAAGTGTTGGAAGTGACATTAGAACGTAGAAAAGAACAACAAATGAAGGATAGATAATAACGCAATGTGTAACTTTATATGTTTTAATATTTCTTAATGGGACTTTTTTCAATCGTGAGCTATTTCTGATTAAAATAAGACCAAACATATATATATATGTTTGATACTAACTTAAATATTTTAAGAAACCAGTGAAACGTCACCCGAGACGTATCGATGGCCGATTTTGTGTAAATAAATCTCATATTAAAATTTATATTTTATTGTACAATTTAAAATGTATTTTTTAAATGAATAACTGGGTATACATCATGTTCCGCATTGAAAGTCGTAAAGAATTAGGAAATTCCCTGCTGTCAAACAATATCAAGTTACTCCGAAAAGCTGATACTTTCTTCAGAATTTAACATTTTATTTAATTATGATCCACAGACAGTCACCAGAAGTCATGCCACCATCTAGCCTTCATAGATTCCTTTTTTTGCATGCTTTGTCAAGTCGAAATGCTTTCCCTGCAACGCTAGAACGAAAGATTGCGCACTCTGTCCACATTGTACCAGTTCCGTAGTTCCGTCTCGCTTTGTTTTGGTTAGGGGCGGAGCAAGTCTGACCCGGGCCTGCCTGCAAGTGTGAACACATTTGGACGGTGCCGGGCGGCCTGGCACGCGTAGAGTGAACACTCTAACCTAAATCAAATGGAATAATGATTCGGCCTTGATCGGCCTTGGAGCACGGCCCGAGTCTAGCATGTAGATGTGCATCGACCCTAAGATCTACCATATTATGACCTTGAGCCTATAAACAACGCTAAAATAATTTTTCCCGACTTTTCAGGCCAAATACTACTTGCACGATTGAGGTAATTCCACTGAAGTTCCTTTTAGCATCGCAAGCAAATATTTAATCGTCAATATCGCAGCTACAATTATTGAAAAAGATGTAAATGTAAACTTTGTGAACCATTAGCTAAATTTTTTTCACACTGCTACAGCTTTATACATTGTACAGTTTTTTCTTTGTACACATAGTGTCAGATAACTTGGCAGTTTAAAGCCGATGTTCTTCTAATTATCAGTTATTATATACTTATGCATGTATTATCACAAGGACTAGATAAATTGACATGAAAATGATCTTTTAGAGGCGACCTTGGAAAAATAGGTATGTAGTTTT